TGCACAACAGCCAAATATCATAAAAATGCATTCCTTTTTGGTTTCTAATACCCATCTAAATACATTTTGAGAGGTACGACTGACTATAATGTCCAAAAATTATTACTCTATAAGAAATTATTAAATTTTTACGTGTCCAGTGTAAACTGAGAGGGTTAAAATATTTTTTGCAGTCAAGTCGGATAAAATGTTATACATTATAATCAATTATCTGAACAGTGCGTATATGTCTGGGTTTTTTAAAGCAAGTATCTAGTAATATAATACATAATAAATCATTTCAATAATTGACACTTTCCTCTCTGAACAAATTTCAGGCTGTGTATTTTAAGTTTAGCTTCACAAACTGCTTTTTCTTAAATAAAAGGCTCCCAAAAAGATGACAGCTCTTGTAACATGTGTGCACTCTCTTTCAGTGCAGAGGAACCAGCAAAAAATACAAGAAAATTAAGACTATTTACCACAAACCATTAGCACTTAAACATGTCCAAAATTCTTTCTCCTGACCATACTTAAGAAGAAAGAAATGTGGGGGGAGGGCATGTGTGTGTGTGGGGGGGGGGGGTATTTTTCAAGTCACAGTTAATCTAATAAGGTCTACTCCAAGCCACAAAGCTCTGAAACATTACTAAATTCTGAGCTCATCCTTAAAATGTCTTAAAATACCTAAACTTAGAAACAGCCCTTTATATTGACTGATTTTCACACATACACAGGACTTGCAGGGGAGCAAAGCTCTTTGGGCCTCTGCTCAGAACTCCAGAAGTCTACCTTCACCCCAGTGAGCTGTCACCAACAGGAGGACTTGCTTTTAAAGTCAGAGGCCCACTTTATAATGTCAAGTGCAACTTCGTTCCAAACCATTCTTGTGCATGTTACAATATTACCTTATTTAAAAAGCTGCTTCCATGATAACAAGCATTTTAAATACAAGTTCTAATATGGCAGTTAAGTGTTCAAAGTAACCCCCAATAGGCTTCTCAGAAAACTGTGAACTGCGTTCATTCCTAGCTCATTCCTGTGTTCAAAGGATTTTGTTGACTTGCCAGCCAGATGCCCAGATATCTCATCATAAAAATTCTTAAATGGGGCCAACTGTGTCAACTAGTCATTACAAATCATCTAAGTCCCCAATCTTGCATCAAAAGTATTGACTTAAGACTCCCCGCAAGTTTCGAAAATAGAAGTGCACAATATTTTGTATAACTTGACTCATATACACCATTAAAGTGCTACTTATCTTTCTCATGTCATGATTAGAAATATTCCAGAATATTAAAACTAAACACTATCATCAAAATGTAGGAAGTATCTGGGCATAGCATACTTAAAAAAAAAAAAAGTAGATCCTTCTAAATCATGTTCCTGCACATATTGCCATAAGCTACGTGGTATTTCAAAATATTCAAAAGAAAACAAAGAATATTTTACGTACGTACTTGGTGAGAAAGTTACAGGCCACCAATAAAAGCAACCCTATTTCAAAAGCAGCATGACTTTGAATCAGCACCTTAAATGTTGATGTAAGTAAGCCAAGTTTAAGAACTAGCTGATATTTCTGGAACAACTTCTTTTTAAGGTTCACCTACAAATTTCTACTGAGTTTCCATGTCAGGTAAGCACATGGTGGAGTTATGATATACCTATGTGGTTTAAAATGAGATATCTTGCACTTTCCTAGTCAAGTTTTTTTTTATTTTTAACTGCACACACATATGTGGAGTTTATTCTTTCATTCGGAGTACTTTAATCACTGTACTACTGGAGTTTTGTTTTAATGACCAATAAACCACCTAAGTGTTTATTTTTTTTAAATGACTCTAAAACTTCATAAATATTGCAGTAAGTAAAATAATTTGTAAATAAATCAATTTTTAAAAGAACCCATAAAATATATGGCCCTTTTCTTTGCAAACTGTTGCCCTAAGTAAGCGTTTCTCTCCGTTCTCGTTTCTAGAAACAGGCCTAGCGAAAGTATCGATCACACTGCCAAGTAAGTTTTTTTTTTTTTATAAATGGAAAACAACTTTTTCAATGTGATCACAGCTTGTGATCTAAGGGAATCTAATACTGTTAAATATTAGAGGATGTCTTCAGCCTGCATAGGGACACAGGTACCCTCCTCTCTGCCACCATCCTGAAATATAAATGTGTCTGCTAAGGTCTCACTGGGGAAGACGCTAATGTATCTGCTAAGTTTCTTTCCCACCACTCCAGTACACTGGTATTATCTGCAAGTCCTCTGTGTGGCAAACTTTTGCCAGCTACAACTTCAGCCTTCGAATCTCAGCATTTTTACTGTAGTCATAACTCATTCAAATTATCTTACACTTTGCATCTTATCCATATGCAATTGTGAACCTTGCCAGAAGTGGTTGAAAAAGTTTCTCTCCAGACTTCCACAAAGTTCCTAAAATAGGAACTTTGGAAGTTTGTGGAGGGAAAATAAAAAATTGGGGTTAAAAAAAAAAAACCTCTTACAATAACTAAAAGCAACTGCTATCCATTATTAATGCTAGGCCTAAATCCCAAACAGACCATTTCGACATAAAAGATGCATTTAAGAGTCTTCTGAGATCCAATAGGCGTTTTTAGTCCTGTTAGATATTGCAATAAGAGGTGTCATGTGCTAAATAGATCCAGAATCCAGAGAGAGGAGGGGGAGAAAAACTGTTGATACTTTTCAGCCCTTTCTAAAGTATTCGGGTTAAACCGTTATCTCCTGCTTTCTACGTGAAGGCAAGGGGTGCTAGCAGGTTTTTCAAGGGAGCGGTGAATAAACATTTTTACAGCGAAGCATTCAACTTCATGGAGGTGATTAATGGTCAGATCACAATGTACCGAAACAGGACGAAGACTCACACTTTTTAAAAAAAAATTTTTTTTAAGCGCAAAATGTCTTTGACTTCATGCCTTTTAGTCAAAGAAAATAAATAAAAGATTCCAAAGGGGGGCAGGTTGGGGGAGCGTGCAGGGGCACTCTGGGGCCCGGGGAGTGCTGCAGACAGGAGAGGGCTGGGAAGAGGGTGCATGGAGAGGAGGGGCGCCCGGCGGGCAGAAACCCACGCGGCGAGTGTCTCGGAGGGAAAAGTTGCCCCCGTCCTGCGCGGAGCGGCCCGAGTCGCGCGGCTGCTGCTGCTGCGGCGGCGGCGGCGGCAGCGGCGGCGGCGGGAGGAGGCGGCGGCGGCGGCGGTGGGGGGAGCCGCGTCCGGCCGGGGCCGCAGCTCGGGCTCGCGACCGGGTGTCCAACTCCGCCCGGCGCTCCCCGGCCCGCGGCCTCGGCCGCTCGCCGCAACCCCGCACCCCGGGTTCGTCCGGACCCCGAAACTTTCCCGCGGGCGGGCGGGCGGGCGAGCGGGGCGCCGCGGCGGCCGCAGGCTCCACCCGGCCGGCGCGGGGGACGCGCGTCCCCGCAGCCCCGCTCCGCCGAGCCCAGAGCCGGCTCGCCAACGCCGCCCGCCTGCGTCCGAGGGGCGCTGGCCGGGCCCGGGCCCGGGACGCCGGCGCGCGTCCCTCCCACGGCCGGACCCCCGCGGCGGACCAACAATAAACAAAAAAGTAAAGAGTTCGGGGCTGCGGCCGCGGCGCGGGCGCGGGGTGCGGGGCGCGGGGCCGCGGGCGCCGGGACCCTCCCCGCGCGCCCCGCACCCGGGGCTTTCGGGCGCCCCGAGCGTGCGGGCGGGGCGCGGTGGGCACCGCGGGCGGCCCCCTTCCCCGGGCGCCGCGCAACTACAGCAGGCGGCCTCCCGGCTGCAGAAACGCTGAGTCCAGATTTCAGCTTGTCATGGGCTGCCACCCCGCCGAAACACGTGCGGGGCGTCCGAAAGCCCCGCCGATCCGCAGTCCCTCGCCCCGATATTAATTAACGCATTAATAAGAGGGCGCCATTAGCCATGTGCCCACACAAATGGCCGTGCAAGAGGAATGCACCCGCATGGAAACAAAGTTACTTTCTGAAAGCTGAATTTCTCCCCCCTCCCCCCAGCACACGCGCGCGCACACACACACACGCGGGGACACACACACACACACACACACCCCACACGCAGAAACACGCGCAGCCCCGGGCACCCGGCGAGCCCCGGGCCCAGCGGGCGCACCGCTCCGGGGCTCCCCCTGGTCCAGCCCCAGGTCTGGCCCCCGCACCCCCGACCCCCGCCCCCACCCCCTCCGCATCCAAACAGCTGCTTACCTGGGTGAGACAGAGCGGAGAATACATAACTGCCGGGCGGTGGGGTGTGCGTGTGCGTCTGGGTGTGCGGGTTGGAGGTGTGCGTGAGTGCGGGGGAGAGAGGAGAAAGAGGGAGAGGGGGAGAGAAGGAGACAGGGGGAGAGAGGGAAGAAGAGAGAGGAGAGAGAGAGAAGGGGGAAGAAAAAAAAAATCAAGCCTGCTTCTTGCGTTCACATTTCCAACTCGGCTCAACTGCAGCCAGCCAGCGCTATTGCCGCTCCATGAGCTGAACTTTAACCCCGCCTAGAGTTTCCCTACACTCCACTATACATGTCTACTGTACGCGGGCGTTAAAGGCATAGCGCACCCTTTCCCGCTCCCGCGCCCGCCCGCCGGCCGGGTGCCCGCGAGCTGCCCGCGCGCCCGCCGCCGCCTCCGCTCTGCACCGCACCGCACAGCCGCCGCCCGCTCGCGCCGCCGCCGCCGGGGGCGGGGAGGGGGCGTGGGGGAGGGGGCGGCTGCGGCGCCGCGCGGCCAGCCCGGTCCCCAGCCAGCCTCCGCGGCCGCTCGCTCGCTCGCTCCCTCTCCCGTTCCCTCGCTCGCTCGCTCGCCTGCTCGCAGCACCCCCCCCCCCGCCCGCCCGCCGCCTCCTGCACAGACCGACACCCCCCCCCCCCTTCTCCGCGGCCCCGCTCGGCGCATTACTGGGTAACGCAGTGAGGAGCAGTTACAGTCTGTCCTCCCGGGCCGCTATAGGCTGCCACAGGATGTGCTTAAGCAAACAAAACTACTTTTCCTCGTCCCCATCCCCCACCCCCGCTGCAGACCTTCGCGGACCTCGCCGGAGGACTTGGGCAACTTGGCCAAGGTTGCCCGGCACCCCGGGGTTCCCGGTGCGGGCGCGCGTGGAGAACCCGGGAGCAGGCCGGGGAAGAGGAAGGGGGCGGGGTGGGGGGGTGCATATTTGCATGAATGCAATATTTTTTCCCCCGAAAAAAGCAGACCTCCTAGGTAACTTTTGCACCCACCCACCCCCACCCCCCCCCCTCGGAAATGCGGCACGGCTCAAAGCCTTGTAATCTCTCCAGCGAAGCTTTCTGTGGGAATAGATCGTCGGCAGAGGTAATTATGCACAAAAGCCTGCAAACTTTGTGCAGCTTTGGTCCTAGGGCACGCGGCAGCGGGGGTGGCGGGGAATTATTTCACACCGAAGATGCACCGGATTTGGGCGGGGGGGGGGGGGTCTGGAGAAAGGGAGGCGGAGATGAATGAGCGTTCTCCCTCCCTGGACTGGGAAACGAGTGGGTTTCAATACAGACGCCATAGTAAAAGTTCTTTCAAATTTAGAATCTTTTTTTTTCTTTTTAAGAGAAAAAAAAAAAAGATGTGCAGGGGATGTCCCCTTGGGAAAGGGCGATCTGCTCCACAAACTCGTGCCGGGAGCTGGTCCCGGCGGTCATTTCGCCGGCTCTTGTTCCAGGCACACCTCTACAAAAGGGTGCCTTTTAAGAACACCCTTTTTCCCTCCCCCAGGTAATAGTTCTTAAAATGGAAAAGAGCTTCCTGCAATTATTTTAGGTTTGCTAAAGTATTGTTTTGGCAGAAAGGGGGGGGGTGGTTTTTAGGGTTTGGCAAGTTGCCAATAACCCTGCTTTTCCAGTTTTTTTTTAAACCTCATATTTTTCTCTTTAGGCTCTTTCCCTGTTTGGAGGGGGGGAGTGGTAGGGGAAGAAGTATACTGAAACGTCCCCCCATCTCTTCTCTTTCTCTTCATCTCCCCCCCCCCCACTCAGGTTGCACCCAGCTGCATTTTCCAATCCTTCTCCAAATTCCAAAAGAGAGAGAAGTACGTCCCGGTGGAGGACAGGCAGGAGAACGTGCACCTTGGGAAAGGTTCCATAGCTAGAGAATCTCGGAAAAGAACAAATTCCTACAGAAATGGTCAGCGCAGGTGAGGAAAGGAGAGGTTCTTGTCCATCCCATTCAGAATCCCACCCCCACCTTTTTTTTTAACACAGCAGTGAGCATGAAATATGTACAGTGAGAAAGCAAAATAAAATCTTCTGAAATATTCTGCATCTGTCTAAAGTTATTTTCTGCTTGTTCTCCAGCTTCTTTATAACTAAAATAATTTCTGAACGCTCAAGAGACCATTTTCACACACGCGGCTCCCAAATAGCCTTGGAAACCTCTCAGATTATTTAATAAGGGGCGAAGGGAGGGAAATCATGGCTGGAATCTTTCATGAGAGAATCCCACTTTCGCAAACCAACACAACTGCTTTTCTTTGGTTTCCTCTTGGATTTCAGGAGGAGAGACAGTTCTAAGAGCCAAGCTGAGTTACAGAGACAATGTCCCTGGCCACGAAAGCTTTGCTGGGATCTATAACTTCCACGCGCTCCAAGTTTCCTCGATAGAAGTTTCTGGCTGGCGGTCCTAACATGTAACTGAGGCACAGTGCGAAGTTATTGTTCCGAGTTGTGTGCTCTGGGGAGGTTCTCCTCAGATCAGATTAAAATCTTTCTCAGGATGTATGAAACGACGCTGCACATCTGCCTCTTTCCCAAACCACCAAAAGTTTTACTTTTAATGGAATCTTAAGGAGAAGAAAAAAAAGTTTTTCAAAAGCTCTGGCACGTCGCCCTACTTGGGGGGTGGGGGGTGGGGAGGGGGGGTTGGGGAAGGAAAGAGGAATGGGGGAAAGTAATTTAATGCTGATATTTCTACTTTAAAAACTTCTTTTGTTGCAGCAATGGATGTGCCCGCGATTTCCAGCTTTCTGCGGTTAGCAATATTATCTTAAGTAACTTTTGGCGCCCTTCGTAAGACTTTTGGAAGTGGGACGTTTGTTTGCGCCCTCTAGGCAAGCGCTGGATCCAAGTTCAGCACCAAAGCCCTTCACATCCGCTCCCGCTTTCTCTCCTATCTCCGCCAGCACCCGCGCCCTCCCCCCGCGGGAGGAGGGGGGCGGGGAGAGGCGGGGGAACCGCTCGGAAGCTCGCTTCCAGCTTCCAGCCCCAGCCTTTGGAAACAGGACTGAGAAAAATACAGTAGAAGAGTTACAGTTACAGAAAAGCTTCTGGTAACTTTCTCTCCAACACGCATAAACTTACACACACACACACACACACACACACACAGAGATATTTCTTAAAGGGCAGCCTGGGGGTAGAAATCTCCAACTCTCTCCCCCCTTTTCCAAGTTGCAAAAGTCAATCCTTGTCCAGAGTTTCCAGAGATACTCAGACACTGAGTATCAGTGTCTACATCAGGGCAGGGATGGAGGGAGAAGGAAGGAAGGTTGGAGAACAGCAGAGAAGCCGCAGGTAAAGGAAGAAACTAGTTTACTGCAATCATATAAATGACCCATTGTTAGGAAGGATAAACCCCTTATTGGAAATAACCGCTCCAATCATTTGTTTTGCAAGTGCTAGGAGGCTGCCTTGAAATGGGATTGTCTCTGCGCAAAGGAGGCTCCTGTCATGCTCTCTGCTATCCATATTCTTCCTGGCTCAGAGCCCAGCCTTGCATTTACTGTGTTTTATTTGCAGAAATGTTACCTTGCCAGCTTTAGTGAAATCCTCTTAGATATATAAATTACATCAATAAGGTTTCACTTATATGTACATCTCAAATACCTCTCAATCCAGAGGTTACTTAATAGGAAGATCTTATTAATATGATTTAGATTTTAATGCCCAAAGCAGTGAAGATAAAATTGGGGTTTGTAAGTGACAATGCCATTAACTCTCTTCTTCTTACCGAGACTAACTTTATCATGAGCATTGCCCAACATGCTTCTTCTCTAGATTTTTTTTTTTACCTGCTGGTGTGCAGATTTTTCTTATGTGCATATATTCCTAAATTGAATCATGAATCCTAAATTGAATGGAACAGCCAAGTGGATTCTTACATCAAATTTCCAAACTAGACTTGCTTAGAAGGCCTAAAACCTTTGGAATTTGCTCGATGGGAGTTTTATTCCAAAGATGGGGAAAACCCCATATGATTTTCCACTCACTTCCCAACAGAATGAGGTGTCTGCTCTGCTCAAACAGAAGAGATGGATATATTTTCATTAGAGGTTGCCAATTTCTGTCTCCAAGACAAGCTACTGCAGTTGGTTCTGTCTGGATTGGTGTCAAAAATGACTTGTCCAAGAGGTCAGTCTCCAGCTCAGATAGCACGTGGGCTACCCTCCATACACACCCTCCACAGTGCTTCCTGTAGTAACCAAGATGTGAAGCTGGCCAGTCTTAAAACACTATTGCTACTGGCCATATATTGAAACAGAATTCAAGAAATGCCTGGGGGCGGAGGGGGGCTTGGAAAGAGTGTAAACCCACTCCCTTTCAACAGCTGGCAGTTTACCTGTGAAACATTTCCTCTCTCATAAAACTGTTCTTCAGCATTCAAGAGAGGCTTGCTTATTCCCTCAAAGCACTTGAAAGGCCAAACCTTCTAAGATAATCAAAGTGCAAAGTTTTGTAACGCTGGGTTGGGGATACAAGACTTCCCAAAGCACACGAGTTGCACCACCTCTTTGCAAGTGTTTAAGCCACAGAGCTTCAAAGTTAAATCTCACATTCCACAGAAGTTAACTTTCCTGAATTAAAAAAAAAAAGCAAAGCTAAATATTTCTCTCACAGAATTTTTCTTTTTTTTCCCAAAAGATATTGAACAAGACTTATGATTCATGCAAAGATTCCCCCCCCACCCACCGGTTTTCTCCCCCTACCCCGCCTTAAACTCGAAAACTCTTTCCTATTGTGCTCGCTAAATCCGGAAGAGCTGTAGCTTTGACAGCTTGAACCAGACCGTACCCTTCAGAGCCGCAGAGAACTTCTGAGTGTCTCTGCCCCGCCCCCTCTGGCTATTGCAACCCATTGTACACCCAAGCTTCCTCGGGATTGGATAACGCCTTTGTCAGTCTCCCATATTGTCCCATTGATTAGAGGATCCAATCGTCAATTATTCTCCGGTCCAGACATCTCTTTTCGGGTTAGGTTGACTGCTGAGGCCAGACGTCTTTTTACAGAACAGAGCACGTACAGGATTTCCCCCGCACACACACACACACACACCACGTCCCCCGCCTCCCCCCCTCCTTTTTCTGGAACCAAGCAAGCGCTAGGAGGAAAAAAAATATCTGTCAAGCTCAGCAATTTTTTCAAATCTCGGGGAAAAAAAATTAAAAAGGAAAACCTGTCTCTGAAGCACACAGCAAAATAAGCCACCCACAAAAGCTACATCTTTAAAACAAAACCATCACAATAGACATTTACCCAACAAGCACTTAAATGCATATGCAAGCTAGAGAAATTTCAAAGTCTTAGCCATTAAACAAAACCATTCTCCCATTATCGTCTCTAAAGCACATATCGTATAAACGCAAAATAGAAAGTTTAAGATGTACCACGTACCATTGCAATGTAAAAGAGTACGTGAGAAACTTTAAAA